GTTTTCGGGTTGACCCGGCAACCCGCCGGGTCAACCCGAACCCGACCCGTTTTGTCAAACGGGTCGAATCTGTGAACCCGAACCCGACCCATTTTTCAAACGGGTCGGGTTCAACCCGGATTTTTCGGGTCGGGTCCGGGTCGGATTTTCGTGTCGTGTCAAATATTGACACCCCTAATTACACGATTACCAACCTTATCTTATCAAAGAAACTTTCCGGTTTATGTTTTGTTTAGATAATTGCGGATCAGTTGCTTAGTTCTTTCCTTTCCGCGTGAATCAATAAGATTAGGCTTTATTTATTTATTTATTTAAGTTTTATATGCATTGTCAACTCCGATTGCCGTGTCATCTGTTTGTAGTATGGTGATTATTTTAGCAGAAAATTATTGTTATTTTCTTTCCTCTAACGTAGAGGATAATTAATAATACTATGGTTGAGACAAATTTCTTTCTATTTTTTATATTAAATATTTAGTGTAAATTTTTTTGAAAAGGAACAAAAAAAAGTTGAGGTCAAAAGTGTAATAAACCTAAATATACATTTCTAAATGTATAGGAAATTTGATTATGTTCCTCTAACGTAGAGGATAATTAAGAATACTTTGTTTGAGACAAAACTTTTTTTTTTCTATTTTTTATATTAAATATTTAGTGTAATTTTTTTTTGAAAAGGAACAAAAAAAAAAGTTGTGGTCAAAAGTGTAATAAACCTAAATATATATTTCTAAATTTATAGAAAATTTGATTATGTGCTTTGGCGTTGAGCTTGAAGTGTTGCAGCATTGGGCTCTCAGATTTTTTGAAATTTAAGAAAGTGTTGCGGTTCTAGATCTGAAACTCTATTGTTTTTTTCAAAAAATATATCTCAGACTATTAGACTAAAAACTCTTGCTCACCATATTTCGTCGGCACATTCTTTGCTTTGCGGAGAGAGAGAAGAGAGAGAAAGATTGAAAAAAAAGAGAGTGTGGAGATCCGATTAATATTTTTCGTCACTTCAATTGGAAAAATGTTTTGATCCTATTAGGTAACTTAGATCCTATTTTTGTTTTTAATGATTTTTATTTTCCAGATTTTATATCTCCAGAAATTGACAAAAGTATAATATCTCTCACGTTAGCGAATTCACATTGTGTAACTTTTGATATGTATTAATTATCGTTCCTTGAACATTTTGGCTTGTTTATGTTGAAATTTCGTGGATTGGTTTTGCATATACGTCATTTTATTTGAAATAAATACTATAAAATTGAGTATAAAGGATCATGAGTTAATATAGTGCACATGGACATGAAATACATGATATACATATATCTATTATTCATTTATTCAAATATGTAATTTTGGTATGCTGTAAATATATTGATGAGTATAATGATAGTTACATTGAGTGTATATGATATTTACTATTATGCATAATATGATATAATGTGTATGTAAAAATAAAAAAGACTTATTTCTAATAATGGGTTGATTCAGGTTGGCAGGAGATATGCTACCTTATAAAAGAGAGTGTGTGGATGTGATTTCTTTTAAATAAGCTTTATGATGTAATCTTCAACGATTAGGAGATTGTTAATATGATATGATACGTCGATATTCTATGCTATAAAGCATTGTAGGTCTCACCACCATTTTATAAATTTTTTCCTTAAAATTGAGGAGTACTTTTCTATCACACAATAGACTCAAGGCATTCCTCTACTTCAACCATCCAACTTGAATTCATGTGGAGTGTCCGTATCATCATTGTGTGTTCTCCGTGTCCGTCGTGTGGTCAGTCTCCAGCGTCCTCCGGCTGAACGGCGCACCTTCGTGCTCCTTCTCCATTCCTACTGGAGAAATCCTGCCCTTGCCTCTGCCAGACCTGCCATTCGATCTCTCACCATTCGCATGGGCCTCCCATTAAGTGCAGACGCTCGGCGGCAATGGACAAAAATGTTCCATTTTTGAATTTCCAGTAAGTGCTTATCTCAATTTTGTATAGGGTAGATGCAGAATTCGAGATAAGTTAGAGTGTTGATCTTGTTTGGGCTTAGACACAGGTATCTTTGTCAAATTGAGTGCTATTTTGGGTGCCTGCATAGTGTTTGTGAGAATGCGTCAAGGGTGGCTTCAGGGTTTTTGACTGAAGATAGCTTGTAGACAATGGTGGAAAGGATTTAAAGCAGGCCAGGACGAAAGACTATGTCGAACTTAGGGGTGATTTTTCCATATTTTATAGAGCTATAACTGAATTTATGGACGAAATTTTCACTCTTATAAGAGGGTTTATCCCTCACCTACATGGTTCCGCCACTATTTGAAGATATTAGGAATTATCTGCTTTCTGTTTATACTTTTACCCCTAAAAAGTAAAGACTGTTTTGAGAAGTGAATGAATTGAAGTGTGGGTTAAAATCAAGTAAATGCAGAATTTTTTGCTGAAAAAAAAAGTAAGATTCTTTGAATTCTGTAGAAAACCAAGCAGCCCTCCATAATTATTTTTTAATTATTTGACTATTTATAAATCTTTCTGTCCTTTTAATTAGTTCTGCATCATAGAGTATTTCGCCGGGGGGGGAAGATTATTCTGTGACGCCTTATTATGTGCGGGCTTCAAATACAGCTCTACATTTGGATACCAATCAGAATGAGCCACGTCAGCGATACCGAGCCGTGGGCTTAGGTATTCGGTCGCGTGAGTAATCTCTTTAGAGGAAAATATAAGACTCCTAACTTCTTTATGCTGGATTTTCGGCAATTTGATTACCCACATTTTGCAGGTTGCAAACAAAATGGTACTGAGTGCCTCTTTTTCCATGCCTAGCCTTGCAAAAGGAAATTGGTGGTACTAAGTAGGAAAATGAGATTGAGAAGTTGCAAATCAGCTCGTTTTCCTTACAAAGGTAAGTGGCAGGAAAGCTTTAGTGAGTTGTTAGCAATGGAAACTTTTAAGAGGAAAGTGGCAGAGTTGCAAGACAGAACAACAAACGTCTTCTCTATTCTCCTAAATTGCTTCAAAAAATATGAGATAAACCCAACCCCCTCTGCATACTCCTTTGTCATTAAGCATGTGTCACATAGATGTCTCTTTTCCCAAATCCCTGCGATTCTAGACCATCTTGAGCAGGAAGAGACTCTCGAAGTCCCAGAAAGAATCTTTCTTGGTCTTATTCAAGTATATGGGAAAGCAAACAAGCTTCAAGATGCTATAAACATTTTCTATAGGATTCCTAAATTCAGATGCACACCTTCTGTTCATTCCTTGAACTCTTTACTCTATCTTCTGTGTAAGAAAAAGGAAAGCCTTCTTTTGGTTCAAGATGTCTTGATGAAGACTCCAGAGATGAAAATTCGATTAGAGGCCTCCACATTTCATATACTAATCAGAGCTCTTTGCAGGAATGGCAAAGTTGGTTCTGCATTGGAGCTCTTAAAGATGATGCAGCTTGAAGAGTACAATCCTGAAGCCAAAATATACTCCATGGTTCTTTCCTCACTCTGCAGGCATGGTGGTGTCACAGAGGTACTTAGTTTTTTAGAGGACATGAAAAGCGCCGGGCACTTGCCGACCGCACTGGAGTATAACAGTGTGATAGATGTTCTTGTCAAGGAAGGTAAAGTAAATCATGCCCATTCTCTTTTGGAAGAGTTGAAATCAGAGGGAAGGAGGCCTCATGTTTTGAGCTATAACAGTGTTCTCCATGGTTTTTGCTTGGCAAATGACTTTCAGAATGTTGAGGAGCTGTTTGATGAAATGCTTGTTATGGGACTTCTTCCCAACATTTTCACCTTTAATATTTATATAAGTAGTCTTTCTCAACAAGGTAAATTTGAAAGAGCGTATAGAATGATAAGTTGTATGGATAAAATAGGATGCAAGCCAGACACACAAACTTTCAACATTCTCCTTGCAGGGTATGGTAAAGCAGGTGAAAAGGAGAAAATCATAGGTGTGAAGAAAGAGATGGTTGAAAAGAGAATCCAATGGAATTCAAATACTTATAGCATTTTGATTGAGGGGCTCATTCATAACTGTGAAACAATAGAAGCTTATGGGCTATTCAAGGAAATGTTGGGCAATGGATTTGTACCTCAGCCTTCAACTTGTAACGCTTTGGTTTGCAGCTTGTGTGAAATGGGCAAACACACTGAAGCTCTGCGAGTTCTAGAAGAAGTAATGAGCAAGCCTATTTTTCCTGATGCTGTGGTTTGGGAAGCACTGCTTCAATTCATGCTGGATTTTCGAAGAAAGCCAGTTGATTTTGAGGCTATTATAGGGGATTCTTAACCTTCTTTCTGCTGTTTTTTAAGTGATTTATTCTTTATAACATGCAGTTTCCTTGTTTTCTTTATTAGTGCCATGGTTTTATGGTACTAATTGATTCATAACCTCTGAGGAAATCTTCGTACATGATTTAGAAGAAATAATTTTAGTATAGTGCCAAGCTGACAACGTAGGAGTATTTCAGGAGCTATTTTATATAATATGAAGTGGCAGGGGCTTCATATGATCATTAAGGTTTTGTTTGTGACAGTTTTTTTTTTTCTTCTTAAAGCGGCTTGCTAGTACAAACATTAAAATTTTATACTAAAAAGCTGCTTTAAGAAACAGTTTGAAAGCCATCCCAAGCGAAGCCTAAAAGTGCCAACACTTAGTAGGAAAAAAATTGGGTAATGAGATTCGGATGAAAATTTAGTTATGATGGGTTAATTAGTATAGTATTCATTTTGATTGATTATTTGTATATTGTACATATCTCAAGGCAAATTTAACAATTAAGGTTCATTTGGGACAGCTTTCTTACTGCTTTTTGTCACTAAAATTTAATTTTTTTACTAAAAAGTTACTTTAAAAAGCAATAAAAAAGCCGTCCCAAATGGAGCCTAAGACTCATCCATTGTGTATTAAAGCAATTATTTTGATCCCTTTGCTTACCTCTGCATGCCATAAACTTCTCATATTCAGATTGGCCTTCTCAACCATTTAATATACACTTTACATAGAAGTTGTCTTCAATTATGTCGAAATATTTTCTAGCCAAACTCAAACCTGACTTATATCGATCACCCGACCTGTTTATGAAAGAACTTTATATTGCAACTCATAACAAGGTGAAACAACCAGCTTAACGTACATTATTTCCGAGTATGAACATCTCAGAATAACAAAAATTGTACGCAGTTGATGAAATTTTACTAGCAAGCTGCTATGATTGAGAAGATTCTGCATGCCAAACAATTTAATGTTCTAACCTTTTGCTAATTTGTGCTGCTGCTCTTCACTTCACCGCCAAACAAACTAAGAATGTTAGAGGAGATGGCAATACAGCTTGTAGTTAGTGCCAGTGAAATCATAATTCCGGCCAACAATTTATCGTTCCTTTTAGAAATACTGTAAATGTCCCTGCAGAAATATGTGATCAGATAAACGAACCAGAACTAAGGAGAAAAAAATAATTAAATAAGCAAAACTTCTGCGTTCTGTACAAAGTTAGCACTCTATTTCTACTTCCCAACGTGCTTAGCTGAAGATATGGCTAAAATTATATATATTCTGGTATAAAATGACAGAATTATAAAAAATGTAAATATTAAAAAATATTTGGATAACTGTTTTGTTACAGTTACCACATATTAGCAAATGTTGTAAGAAATAACATTTCCTCACAAAAAAAAAAAAAAATGAAAAAGAGGCAAAAAAAAAAAAAAGTAGTAAAACAAAAATATTATTGCAGTTTGAAAAAATAAATAAAAATGAAATAACTATCTCAAATAGATTCTTAATTTGATTTGATTTGGTCAATATAACCTAAGATTCTCTTGGAGTGCTTCAAATCATATTAGAATATGTGTAACCTCCCGTCCAAATTATGAGGTTCAATGCACATAAACTGTACAAGTTACTAATTATGTTTTCTCTATAGTTGTAAGTTAAAATAAAACCAATCAATGGTAAACAATCAAAAGAAAACACGAAAAAAGAAAGTTGTGCTAATTTGTATAACAATTTTTTTCCGAATTTTGAGCGAGTAGGCCTCTAATTCAAGACTTTGAAATTAGAGCTAAAATAATCAACAATTATGTTAGGCTGAGATGCATAATTGTATTATAAGTTCAAAGGGTGGAACCAGGAGAGCTCAAGGTAGGCAATTGGCCACCTTGAAAAAAAAAGTTCTTAGAAGAAAAATCATTTTAACTATTTTTGCTTAGCTTCATAAATGCAATTGGCCAAATTCTAAGAAAAAAAAATTTCATTTTCTATTTGATACATAAAATAATGCATTTCATTTTCTATTTGATACATAAAATAATACATATTATCCGCTTTGAACCAAGGGCCTCACAGTTTTGTCTTGTTAGTGTAACTACCATGGAGGTCACTTATTACAAAATTTCTTTAGGATGAACACACTTAACTGTAGAGTTTCATAATGAAAATTCTTCTATTACACCAAAAGGCGCCTCGATGTTTAATAGTTTATCTTCTTTTACTTAAGGGGTTTTACAATCTCCCACACTTAAGTAATTGACGTCCTCATCAACATCTATATCCCATAATCATCCACTAGGCAAATAAGCTTCTATAGGTGGCCATTACAAGTTCAAGTGGTGACTCCCGCCATATAACACTTTGTCTCATATAGGGTTTAAGAGGTGGCTCCCATGACGTAGCACTTTATCTTGTGTGACACTTAGTTCCCATCTTTCGGCTAATGTATTGCTCTGAAATACCATTTATAACAGTCCAAACTCTTAAGTGTCGAGATATTATCTGCTTTGGCCTAAGGGCCTCAAGATTTTTCTCTGTTCGTGTAACTTTCTAGGAGGTCACCCATTTCAGAATTTTTTTGGAATGAGCATGCTTAACTGCAGAGTTTCTTAAAGAAGTTTCGACCATTATACTAAAAAGTGTCTCGATGTTTAAGAGTTTAACTTATTTTACTTAAAGGGTTTTATACACCCCCTCTTATCCAAGAATCCTCTTCCTCATTCAAGATCCTAACTATTGGTATCAGAGCTAGGTGGAGGTGGAAGAAGGTTCATGTCCAAAGAAAGAAAGGAGGAGGACGGAGGCTCAACAAGGTTTGTTCGTCAAAGAGATCGGCCGAATGCAAAGAGTTCCGCATAGGTCGGATGTCGGGTTGGTGCAATAAGATAAGGCTATTCGGTCGGCCCTGGGTATGTGTGAACAGGATGCTATGAATTTAGAAGTATCAGCCGTGGGGTGCTAGGAAGATGGGGCCATGGACGAATTTGCCTGCGCTCGCACGGAAAGCGATGCCTCCAGTTCATAGATTGGTGCATGTCGTGCGGTCGGACCGGGAAGCAAGAGTGGCACAAGCGCTCTGTGGGTCGGAAAAGAGGGGTGCGTGAGTTGGACGCGAGAGATGCGCAGACGCAGCAAGTAGTGGGAACCTGGGCTGCACAGGAGAATGTGGGCAGGGTCTTGGGCACGGAGCGCAGAGTGATGCAAGACAAGGGCATGGGGCACAGGGTGCGGGCAGATGCGAGCTGGGTGTTCATGTGCGGGGTTCACGCTAGGGAGGCACCCGAGTTAATGTACCAGGCCTAGGCGCATGGGCTAGAGATTGCATAGGCACTAGCGGGACATTTCTTGGACTATGTGATTTCGAACAGTAGATATGACAACAGGAGGAGCGGAGTTGGAGCTAGGCTGGGGCTAGGGCTCAGGCAACAGGAGACTTGAGAAGATGGCATAGCAGTTCTTGAGGAAGTCGGTAACCGTTCGGTGGAGTCAATTGATGGGGAAGACTAGTGGGCCAGATGGCAGAGCAATTCATGGGGTACGGGTAGATGCGAGCTGGGTGTTCACGTGCGGGGTTCACGCTAGGGAGGCACGCGGTGAATGGACCAGGCCTAGCGCATGGTCCAGAGGTTGCATATGCACTAGAGGAACATTGCCTGGACTATGTGATTTCGAACAGCATATACGACATCAGGTGGAACGAAGCTGGAGCTGGGCTGGGGCTAAGGCTCAGGCATCAAGAGAATCGAGAAGATGGCAGAGTAGTTCTTGAGGAAGTCGATAACCGTTTGGTGGAGGCAATTGATGGGGAAGATTGGTGGGCTGTTCTTTGTGGACATCATATATCTTTTCTTAGTTTTATAAAATCGGACCAAGGTTAAGATTGATAGATATTGGTCAAATTTTAGGATAATTGTTTCGTAGGTGCATTTTATCCCAATAAAGTCTCTATATATAAAGAGGATGTAATAGACTTAGGAGCAAGGTAATGAATAAGATTTAGTTCCTATTCTCTTCTTTTCCCTATTGCTCTCTCATCCAAGAATCCTCTTCCTCATTCAAGATCCTGACATAAACTAATGCTATTTAACAACAATTTTATAAATTCTGATATGAATAAATGAAAGGATGTTTTTATTGGGTAATTATTGAGCCATGTTATAAGACCTTTTACGTGATATTATATGTTATTAGGTGCCTTCATGGTCTATAAATACTAATAATATGGAGAAATCAGGGCATTCCAAAAAACAATGAATGAACTCAATCTTAATGTTGCTCTCTTTCTTCATCGCAACTTAAAAAGTCAACCCAAACGAAGTCTCAGTCTTAATAAATCAGATATCTCATAACCGCAACTTCCAGGCGCCAAAATCACCATTATAATTCTCGATAACTATCGCATCTAATCTTTGCCATCATCTTGGTCAGATCCTCGGTCTACGCTTGTCTGATCCATCTTCGGTCGAAGGAGAGATTCAATGTGACTTATTTATTTAAACTCCTTAACTAAGTGCTATATTATGTTAATATTAAATTTTAGGCGGTGTTACATATATAAATAAAAAATTTGAGTGTTATGCTTATAAATCCCTTTATTTTTCATCAGGTTAGATACAAGTTTTACATCATGAAATACTGGTTAATTAACAGATCTGGAAAAAAACTATTACCTCAATACGACGGCGCCCGGAAAAATCAACGAGATGCCGACCGCAGAAGTCGACCCCATGAACTGAAACACTGTCCACACATTTGGGATTGCGATTGCCGCAAAGTAAACCAAACCCAATAGTACTGCTGTGAGAAGCAAAAATCGTCCGGCATCAGTCGTGAGCGGCCGCTGCTGCGACTTGGGGAAGACAAGACCATCGATGTTCAGCCGAAGTGAGTAGAAGAGTAATGGAAACACCAGCACCAAGTGGAGCGCATAGCTCAGCCGAACCACGTCGTCAAGAATCGGGCTCCCTGAGCTCTTGTCGAAGTTGGAAAGCACATCGTCCATCGTATCGTCGCCGAAGAGAAGGTACCCAGAGAGCCCGACGACGGCGTAGATGACGGTGCACAGGAGGAGGGAGACTCGGACGGCTGGTTTCATGTCGGAGACGCGGCTGAGCTCCGACCGGATTGGGTGCACTGTAGATTCATTTCATTCAAAATCTTGAGGTTTAGTGGCGGTAAGTTGAAGGGTTATTTGAAGAGGAGAATGGCTTGGTTACCGTTGAATTGGAAGGTGAAGGCTACGACAATTACGGGGATGGCCGTGAAGAGTTCGAGGAAGGATTGATTGTGCAAGTCTGGAAGTAGTCTAGGTCTTTTAATGGTGCCTTGAAACAGGGCATAGATAGCCATTCCAGAGCTGATGAGCACGAAAACTACCGCAAGCAGGACCGAAATTGCTGAAGTGAATCTCATAGAATCTGCGATTTGCAAGAAAGAAAAGTCAGAAAGATGCAGATATTGATCGTTATATTCGTTTATCAACTGTTTTCACTGCATAGAAAAAAACATTAAAATCAGGCTATTTATTGATGAAAAATAATCGGGCCTCCATTTGAACTTAATTATGTGATATTGTATTGATCAGCAGCTCTTCCTCACTTTTTTTTTCTTTTTAGATTTTTTTAGAGTATGTAACAAAGTCTGAATCGTTAAACTTATTAATAATTTTTTAAAAAGCAAATAACTACGAAGCTGGATGGTCCTCAATAATTGGTGCCGTGTCAGACTCGAAAACAAAACCCATCACGCACAGAATAATGAATAATCTCTCGCTTACCTGACGCTCTAATCCGTACCAACTAGTATTAAAATAATTGCTTGGAATTTAGTATTTTATTTCAATAATAAAGCACTCTCCTATTTCCAAACCTCCGCCTTTTTGGCCTTTTACATGAAAGTCACGACCTCAAGAACGAAAAAAAATCGTAAGAATTCATTAATACAGTTCATAATATTATATATAAATATTAATTTTAATAAACATTTAATAACAATTAAATTCATTCTAACATAAATTACAAAAAAAAAAAATTAAAAATATAATTATATTTAGGGCTGCCCGGAATAAAATTATATAGTCCTAACTTAATAGACTCGCTAATTTTATAAAACTCATTGTTAACTTATAAAAAATATTAAATAAATTTTGTGCTGGACTTGGCAGCTTATAGCATAACTACTGCTAAAAATCTCACCTACGCGACGAAGAAGCACCAGAGGGAGCATCACAACGAAGACGGTGATCGGAATCGTTGCTGATCTCGTCGTCCACCACTCCTCTCCAAACCACTCCTGCAACACGCCCAAGTGATCCACTCCCTCCGTTCTGTTCCCAGATAACACGTCCCCTGCCACCAAAGCACCCACAGTATCAATTAGAGCAAAAAAATGAGAGAAAAAAAAAAAAACAAGAAATTAAAAATTGGCCGACTAAGAGTTCTTTATACAGTTGATGATTATTTATCTTCAACAGATGGATCAACCAAGTCAGACAAATTTGAATTGGGGATAATGGAATTGAGTTATTGTTCCTATTTGACTCATATTACTCAGAAATAAATGATTAAAATAGAAATAAAATTGTTCAGCTCATTAATAAACTGGAGCTACTAGATCTATATAGCATAACTACTGCTAAAAATCTCACCTACGCGACGAAGAAGCACCAGAGGGAGCATCACAACGAAGACGGTGATCGGAATCGTTGCTGATCTCGTCGTCCACCACTCCTCTCCAAACCACTCCTGCAACACGCCCAAGTGATCCACTCCCTCCGTTCTGTTCCCAGATAACACGTCCCCTGCCACCAAAGCACCCAGAGCATCAATTAGAGTGATAAAATGTAAAGAGAAAAAGAACAAGAAATTAAAAATTGGCCGACAAAGAGTTCTTTATACAGTTGACGATTATTTATCTTCAACAGATCGATCAATCAAGTCTGACAAATTTGAATTGGGGATCATGGAATTGAGTTATTGTTCCTATTTGACTCATATTACTCAGAAATAAATGATTAAAATACAAATAAATTGTTCAGCTCATTAATGAACTGGAGCTTATCGATCTATAATTCATAGCTCCCCATAGTTATCAAATGAGCTGAAGAACAGCCCACGACTTCGTATTCGTCAATCGCATCGATCAAACAACATAAATATAAAAACAGAAACTAATCTAATCGAGAGTTTCGAGGTTCACCAATGATGATAAGATACATGATGAGAGATCCCAAATTGGTGAGCGCGATGAATATCTGAAGCACAGCGGATCCCACAAAACCAAATGACTTCGCCATTAGACCAGAGTAGGAACCAGTCGCGGACGATTCTCCGGCGGCCGTGTAGCGTGTGAGGAACTCCACTGATACGTCGGAGAGCAAGGCGACCGCGGCGATGATGACCAAAGCGGGGATGACGCCGAGGACCCTCAGGGTCGCAGGAATCGACATGATTCCGGCACCGACGATGCTAGTCGAGATATTGAACACCGCGCTTGAGAACGATGCGCCGCCGCCTGAATCTTCATTTTCAGCTGATTCAGCTGGCCGTTGGAGCTCCGGCAGGAGAGGGGCAAGGATTTTACCGCCATTCGCCGGAGATCTCATCAGGATTGGAAAGGATTTGGGAAATTTAGGTGGGATTCAGGAAACACCGGCGGCAAATGAGCCCGAGAAAATCGCGGGGTTATAGATTAGTTTCAGAGTATGCAGCCTCTACTAAATCGAACACGTCATCTTCTGCCACCGTTTGCCACGTGGATAGTTGAACACGTGGCGAGTGGTGCAGTTTATTATTAAGAGTTCCTGAAACAAAGTGTTTATAAATATTAAGTTCCATGATTTTGATTATATTAATTTTTAAAATTAGTTGGCAACCATTAATAGGTTAAGGTTCGAAGCTGTAAGATGTTCAAGTAAAATGGGTGGTGCGATCGGAGAAATGCACCTGGACGAGAAAATAAGCTAGATTAATAAAGGTGATGTAATTATATTATCATATCGAAAAAGATGTTGTGGGAATATACTATTATATTTATATTAGAATGAATTTAAAAATTAATGAATTTTTTTAGATTAAATCATATATGAAAATTTAATATACATAAAATTTAAAATAAATTTATTAATTTTTAAGCAGTTTTTACCTTTTTTTTTGTTATTAAAGAAATGACGAGTAATGATATATCATAAGAAAATCTATTGAATTTTTTTGGACGCAAATTTTGGATCTAAAAAAATTCTAAATATTAAAATTAAAATTATCATGAATTGGCTTTATGATCATCTAAATATATTTTCACCAAATTTATAATTGATACAACACAGTCTAATGAGATGAGCCCAATCATGAGTGGAGCATATAAATTTGGGTTTAAATGAGTATAAATCAAGCACGTCTCTTAGTTTCTTGCAACGTCTATTTTTTAAAGAAGACTTTCTATAAGATTGAGAAGGCAACCTTAGTAGTAATGGCGCATAAATGTTTGCATTAACATACAAAGGTAGCCGCACATCACTTAAAGAGTTAAGACGGCAAAGATGTTTGTTCCTAATATCGATAAATTTGTCATTATATCATATCTAAATTGTAGCCGCATAGTGGATATCCACAAATTAATGACTTGAAGTGGATATAATTAAATGGCATTTTATTTAATCCACTTGTTCTCCGAAGTTACCTACATATAAAAGGAATTTATTGTAAAAATTCCTAAGGAATCTCTTCTTCTTATATAGCCATTAGCAGGCACAATTATCTAAAATCTTGAATACCTTTGACATAGGAGTGTCAATTTTTTACACGACTTGAAACATGACCCGAACCCGACTCGGAACAATCCGGGTTAGGGTCAACCTGGACCCGAAATCGTTCGGGTTCGGGTTCAACAAATCAACCCGTTTAAAAATCGGGTAGGATTCGGGTTGACCTAGCAACCTGAAAATGACCCAAAATTGACACGAAAACTCCTATTTGACTCGGAAACCCGATT